GGTGTAACAATATATTAAGTGAACACTTGCAAATACGTATATTATATCCTAGTTAAGGAGAGGTGAAATTCATAACTATTTCAGGCATTGCAAAAGCCCTGTTTCCTAAAGTGTCTTCATTGATAAGTTTCTCCATTTCTCCAGTGGTGAGTCTGCAGGCTTTCAACGCAAAATCCGGTTTCGATATTAGTGCTGGCCAGAGTACAGATAACCCATTGTGTGACTTTGTGCTTGATAACAACTAGAACCAAACCAGTGATTTGTGGTGCCTGTAATAAAGTAACATCACCATTCAGTGACTTGTTTTTCTATACCAGTATAATGGCTATTCGATATAATTATAAGAAGTTATGAGTAATGTAACGAATTTATTATTATGTATTTGTTTTTAATATGAACGTTGTTTGGAGTGAATTTGTATTTAGAAATATGCGTGAGTTGTAGTATCAGATATGTGTTGTGTATCCCGAATTTGTTATATATTTATTTATATGTCAACGTTTGTTTCGAAAAGTTTATATTTGAGGGCGTGTCTAGCTTACTGTGTTAGTTAGGTATGGCGAAACTCCCGCCAATTCTCCAAGATTGTAGAATATTCGTGGACACAGAAATCAACACTATATCCACTTCTGTGACCAATTAAATACAGTTCCGAAGTTTGTAGAAAATGTGTCCCGCCTATAAGAACATCAGAGCAACGCGCCAAAAAAGAACAGAGAAGAGAGCTAATATACAAGTCTGCTAGGAAACTGTTATAATCGTGTGTACGCGATAAGCCGTGATTTTGCTAACCCTTACCAACCGAAAAATATACGACATTTGGCCAGGAACAGCTATAAATTTCGAACGTCAGTGAATTCTCATCAAACGTTAGTATCTTTACAAAAATATTGCTGGTTTCTCATTGGACATTAGTGGTTTTATGAAAATATCATCTTACTTCAACGGTCCAACAGTTCAGTGCCTGACAAAGCTAGTTAGCTTCCCGATAATTGTACGTACATCGACTTCAAGTTAACTGGCTGGATATCAAGGAGACTTTGAACTAGGAAGACGATTTTAGGCTATTTCTAAGTTAGTGAAATTTCTGTTTATGAAACTTGGTTTGTAATAATTAATCATAATAGTTGCTATTGTAAATTGTACTGTTGTATATATATATTAAAACGTATTTATGTCAAAAACAAAAATGGTGTGAATCAATCTTGTTGGCAAATAGCGTAAATTAAATAAAATATTGGCATATTTCTAAACACTAAATCCAGGGTACAGTTCAACTATTAAAAGTTAAGTTATTTAACGCGGCTTTGGATTATTTCAAATTCTCTATACATAATAGTAAAAACAAAGAAGAATATGTAATAGTATGCCAGTCATATCCAGTGCTGACGAGGCCTTTTGCCCATTACCAGGGCTCATCTGGCCGACTAGGATACGACAACGTAAAAGTCTAGGTGCTACTTATATCAGCCATTTCATAAACAACAACTGTGATAGTATGAACTAGATTACGTAAGTGAACTGTGATTATTATTAATTTTATTTCAATTAGTTGGAAGTTCGAATTACAGTAAGGATTAATGACATAATAATATTTATTTATTTTTATATCTGTTTTACCTGAATTAGCTTTACTATTATATTCAGAACATCTGGCACCTAACAAGTTGGTCTTCTTAGTTCGCGGAGTGGGTCAAGTAACTTACGAGGAGAATAGATGATAATATATATCAACCACACTGTACCTAACGTATCAAATACCGAAGAAGACTTTTGCAAATACCAGACCTCCTCAGGACAGCTGTGATAGGACAGACACAGAAATACCAGAACTCCTCAGGACATCTGTGATAGGACAGATACAGAAGTACCAGACCTCCTCAGGACAGACACAGAAGTACCAGAACTTCTCAGGACAGCTGTGATAGGACAGATACAGAAGTACCAGAAGTCCTCGGGACAGCTGTGATAGGACAGATGCAGAAGTACCAGAACTCCCTGGGACAGCTGTGATAGGACAGACACAGAAGTATCAGAATTCCTCAGAACAGTTGTGATAGGACAGAGACAGAAGAACCAGAACTCCTCAGGACAGCTATGATAGGACAGACACAGAAGTACCAGAACTCCTCAGGACAGCTGTGATAGGACAGACCCAGAAGTACCAGAACGCCTCAGGACAGCTGTGATAGGACAGACCTAGAAGTAGTGGTCAAGGTGCTACTTATATCATTATTTGCATGAATAACAACTGTTATGGTGTGAACTAGATTGAGAGAGTGAAACGTAATTACTATCAATTTTATACACATAATTAAAATTATCATAATTATGGTAATGTAAATAACACAGTATTATTTATTTAGTTTTAATACCTCTGATTTATTATTATTACTTGAATTAACTTTACTATCATTTATAGCGACTGTTCTTATGTAACATCATTACTCTGTGACTTGTTTTATACATAACAAGCAAGTTACCAGGCGTTGCCGTGGTTTTCTAAAAAAAACTACTCTCACTGTTTCCCAGTTCCATACTTTGATAGGTAAAAAATATTTTGCGAATTTATGAAAAAAGCATCTTAGGTTTGATTTGTGAAAATAAACTACGAACCTGTTTTAAATCAGGGCTTTTTTATGAATGGTATTTTGTTTTTGTTTGTTTTTTCCACTGGAAGGATAAATTTTTGGTCCCCACTCTTGAGCATCCAACGTAAAGTTGTCCATATGAGAAACATGGTGACGTCAATTCAAGTCCCACTACTTTATTGACATCGCAAAGCTTAATTTGATTGGGAACTGCAGGCCTTTGACCTCCAGGGGAGATCGTTGGAATTGATAGGATACATGGGATGAAAACATGTTTCCCTTTGTTGTTCCCAGTAATAATTTTATTTTATAGGCTAGGCCTACTGTTTGCTTTTTCACACACAACATTCTAATTATGCATACATTTCTTTTGTGTGTGAAGTTAAATATATGATGTATTAATAGATGTATAATTAATAATCTATAACTAATTACGCCTATATATTCTAATGTTAATAAAAAATACAATTTCCAGGTTCAACCCACTTTCACCTCATGCAAGCACTCTACCAGTTACGCTGACTTGACTTTAATCTCATTGTACACAATAAGTATTATAATTTAAGCCTTACTCTTTTCACGTAGTCTATTCTATGGCAGACAGCATAATTGTATTCTACAGGCTAGGCTTACTATTTGCTTTTTCGCACACGACATTCTAATTCTGCATACATTTCTTTTGTGTGTGAGATTAAATATATGATGTATTATTAGATCTATAATTAATGATCTATAACTAAATAGGCCTATCTATTATAATGCTATATTCTAAATTAAATGTTAACTGAAACTTCCCCAAAATTTCAAGTCTGCATAGATTTACAACCATGTAAAACATGTTAACAATAAAATCACTGGTCCGGTTAGCAGACGATAAACGCATATATCAACGAAAAATCGTCGTTTTGCGCACCTTCGCTTGAGGGAAGTGTGTCCTGAGCAGTGAACGCGGCGGACAAACAACCAAGCTAACAAACAAACATAGAGATTTTGAGTTTTATATATAAATTATAGTGACTGTTCTTACGTAACATCATTATTCTGTGACTTGTTTTATGTATAATTATAGTAACTGTTCTTACGTAATATCATTACTCTGTGACTTGTTTTATATATAATTATAGTGACTGTTCTTACGTAACGTCATTAATCTGTGACTTGTTTTATGTATTATTATAGTGACTGTTCTTGCATAACATCATTATTCTGTGACTTGTTTTGTGTATAATTATAGTGACTGTTCTTATGTAATATCATTACTCTGTGACTTATTTTATATATAATTATAGTAACTGTTCTTACGTAACGTCATTAATATGTGACTTGTTTTATGTATTATTATTATAGTGATTGTTCTTACGTAGCGTCATTACTCTGTGACTTGTTTTATGTATTATTATAGTGACTGTTCTTACGTAACATCATTACTCTGTGACTTGTTTTATATATAATTACAGTGACTTGTATTTTTTCTATAAGAGTATTGTTGCATGACGTGTTACTAGCGTCACGTGACCTCCGCTGTCGTGTGAACGTTCGAGAAGTTCTCAACGAACGACTCACGTGCTCGACTCAACAATACTCAGTTCAATTACACACATTGTTGCCGTCACTTTGTGACCGTCTTATATGTACAAGAATACCGAATCTAGTAAGCTCTCGAGAAGTCAGGAAGGGATTTATAGCGCGACTGTTGAAATTAAGTGTATCGCAAAGTTATATTCAGAAAGAATAAACCAGTTTTATTTAAGAAAGGACTTGTGTCGCTAAAGTTTAGTCGGAACGAATTTACGGAAAATTAACTAACGAACGGAGACGTAACAATATATTATTTAGTTTCTTGATGGTCATGGGCTGGGTGCAATGCACCCAGGTTGTGGTTAAAGAATTAACTGATACTAATACCAACAATGCTGGTTTCAGAGTTTCAAAACAACTCCTACTGAAACATGAAATTTCATTTCAATCTGTTGCATAAAATAACCTTCAGAAGATAAAATTTTGTCATGTTACTTTTCTGCCATGGAAGCCACTAGTTCATTCACAACATTACTATGTGTATTAGTGTGACTGCCTGTTCTTTTATAGGTATTATGGTGGTGTGGCACAGTCTGATTGGTTAGATGATAGCCAATCACAGTATAAACAATTAGCACGTGACTGTACTCTCGCATAATTCATTTATATGCGATAAATGGGGAGTAATCCACTGATATTTTGCATTTTATACCTCTTTTAGTCACTATTCTTTTAAGTATTTTCGATGTTATATGTGCTTCTAATTTTATAATTTATATACTTATTTTTCTAAATACCATTTATTTTGGTTTCATTACTTTTTATATTGATTGTAATTGCCCTCTAATTTTATTTGAAACTGGTTTAGAGTGCCTGTATAGAACATTAAGACTTAACTGTTAATAGATGGCGGCACTTATTAACTTTTGTTGTACACGTGACATCAAATATCAGGGTAACTCGTGTACCGTTTCATCATGTCGGACGCTGAGTGGGGTAAGTAGAATAGCAGATTAATTTCAGGTATTAAAAAGTATTAGATTTTTTATTTCATATGTGTAAAAATGAATTATCAACGATTTTCTGATAGAAAACGATGATTTCGAGCCTCCTCCAGTTGTTACCGTTCCACTGATGAATGACAGATGGGAAGGGGAAGACGAAGATGATGTCAAGGTAAGCCTAACTAATTTAACGTGTTATCTTTATAGGCTTAATATAGAAATTAGAATATCTGTACGTTATTTATATTATAATTTAAACTACTATCAAAGTCTGAAGTAACGGTATGCTAACCCTTCAACTTGGTAGTAAAGTAGTGGGGAGACTTACGTCTTTGAAGTTGAACTACTGGGAGTGGTAATGTTTACAGGTTTTGACGAGTTTACTGTTTACACTTCAGTCAAATCGCTAGGCTATGCTTATGACATCTCTCGAAAATACCAAAAAGTTTTAAACAAAGCTTGTATGTCATACCTCTGTATTTACATGAAGGGCTTAGGTACGTTTTTGTAACAAGTATATGGTATACTTCAATTATGAAAGTAAATATTTCAAATTTTAGGCACATACATTTTCATTTCAAAGAATACTAATAGTAACATCATCACATGGTTAACTTGGTTACACAACTTACAGAATTTTATAAAAGTGTTTTGTGCACCAAGTTTGTCTTTTGCAAAATAGAGTACATCATATTGAAGATTCATTTTGTATATGAGAATGGCTGTTTAACGCTTTTATATTTCTAATCATTATAACTGGCCTTGTAGTAAATTGGTAATACATAAATGAAAAAAATCTTGTTGAGCTTTGTCTACCTTACACACTGTTGCTATTCCCCCTAGCTTTCAACACATTGGATAACATTCTGCTTGGAGTACCTGATAGTTTCAATTTCTTTCTAATTTTGAGACACTTGCTAAAAAGGATTTAATTATTTCACACAAGGATATATCCATGATATTAAAATATTCAAGGAAAATAACATCAAAATTACAGCAAAATGGTGGTGATCTATGAAAAATGGCAGTCACTGCATGTGCCGAAAATTGCTATTTCTGTGGACAGAATTGTTGAAGCTAATTGCTAAAACTGGGTAAGTACATATAATCCTAAATGTATATTTTATTTATATATATTAATGGAGAAATATTTTTTTACCTTTATTAAATATCTTATGTAATATAGAGACAAATTTATACTTTCATCGTATTTTAATTAAAAATCATACCAAGGCCCTAACATTAGGCATAAAATGCATATGTCATGATTTTCTGATTAAGCTTAATTTTTGTTTCAATAAATTTTGTCAAAAACTGTGACAAAATACACATCAAAACATTTCACTTCAAAAGAAAAACATCAGCAAATGCAGTCTTTTATTTAAGTATGAAATACAAATCACATTGTTTTATTTATCAATGTTATACAGACTAAATGGATGGTGCTCTCATGTTGTTGGATTGGTAAAGTCATTGAAAGGCTTCAAGCATGTACCAGATGAACTGAGCTGTACAAGTATGCCACAAAAGTGGCACATTCCTAGAGGATACTAAACTCAAGTAATCCTAATGAATTGTTATAGTTGTCAGGCCCACCGAACAATGCAAATGGAAGTCACCGCTTTGTTGGATCAATTCTGACACAAAGAGAGACATTTGCAATTTATTAATTTTATAAAGCTGTTTTACATATGTATAAAGTCTTTCATTAAGTTATATTTTTAAGTAAGGCAACATTTCAAAATTTTTTTGTTTCTCCTCTCCTATCTCTGGTGTTGAAACTTAGGTTGGTACATAGGAATTTTTTTTTGCTTGTCAACTGCAAAATATCACTGATGAATAAATTCTATATATCAATTTAATGACTGCTTACCAGAACACCAGGTATTTATCTAATTAAAATTATATTTAAATACCTGTAAAATGTATACCATTTTCATCTTTTAAACAAGATGTGATTTCTTCACTGTTGAAGCTAATATCAAATCATCAAATGCTAAAGTTTTGCATGTCCACTCTGCAAAAGTAGTCTTTTTTTCAAACCTATCGTCGCAACATGTAATACATAAAGATAATGTGTATATTTCAGTGACCTGTCTAAAGTTTTCACCACCTCTACTGATTCACAAAAGTTTAGAGTAAGGAATACTGTGTCACCTAATTTATTTTGTATTATTATGGTCTTGTATTGGTAAAACTGTGTCATCATAAACTATGTCACTTAAGATATCCTACTGTGTTCTTTCTGTGTCATGTCCATACAGTCTGTGTTTTCTGCCACCATCACATTCAAAAGTGGCTATTGATCTTATAGTCCAATCATCATAGGTTGAACTTAGAACAAATTGTAATAATAACAAGATCTGGTATATTGTGTCTATTTTAAAATGTCCTAAAAATTTGGGCTTTTGATGAAGATTGGAAATTAACTGTACTTCCCTATTGATTGTCAGATTTGAGTAAAACAAAATTTATACTATTTATCTGAATGTATTGTATAATGGCAATAAAATAAAAAATAAACATTCAGTTTTGGCTAAAAATGTTTTTTTTTTCTGTGCTATTTTTCTAGTAGTCACTATTATAGTACAATATGTATATTTAAAATTTTACTCGTGGTTGTTCATCACTGAAGGAGTGCTATGTAACAACAGACAGACTAAATCTGTAAATTCATATAGTTTAACCACAATATTAAATTTTATTCACTTTTTTTGGTAATTGTTTATAGATGAATTCTTTGTTTTGCTATTTTATGTATCATTCCAGTTTCAATCTTAATTTGGTTAGGTCCTTTCCAATGGTACAGCCCTTATCATCCATGATGACTTCTTTAATATTACCATTAGTTTTCAAGGTATTAAGTAAGTCCGGAAAGCCACTTTGTTCTACAGTGACTTTGTCTGACATTGAACCTGATAATAGCTCAGACACAAACATCAGAGATCCATTTGGCTCTATAGCTATTCAACATATTAATGTTGTTCTTGAGTTGCAGTGCCAATGCATATTGAACCTGTTGTTTGATTTCAGTTCCATCAATTATTGCTGAAGTTGCTTGAAATTCATTTTTGAAGAATTTTGGCATACCTTTGATGTTTTTATCTCTGTGTGGCCAAGTACATATAACGGCTCAACTTTGAGATACGAGTGCTCAAAACAACTATTGAAGTCAAACACTACTTGACTGTATAAAAAGACTAAACCTCGTATAAAAATCTTTCAGTCCATAGCTCTTTGTGAGTTGAGACATACTGTAATGTGAATCATTTGTTTTTTGAGGTTAGTTTGTATTTTGTTTTAATAAAGTCACTTTGTTCCTTGACATTTAAAACAGTTCTCAGCACTAAAGTCAGTACTTCTAAGTGCTGAATCCTCTAAAACAAACAATCAAAATATATTTAAAACACTCAGACATTATGCCTCTCAAATTAAAAAATTTTGTTTATATTGCAGATAAGAAATATTAAAACTACCAAATCATCAAAAGACAAAGGTTGTTGGCTGAAAACACTTCCTTTATCTACACCAGTTGAATTACCACCTGAATTTAAAGTATTGAACAATGACTTTCAACATTTAAAACCAGAACAATTGGAGATTCAACAGTTGAATTACCACCCGAATTTAAAGTATTGAACAATGACTTTCAACATTTAAAACCAGACCAATTGGAGATTCAATCCAGAGAACAAAACAGAAGTGAATTATGGATAAAAGACAGAGGCCAGCAACATGAAACTTAGCACAATTTTAAGTACAGTTAATCTACAGTTTCTTTTTTTATTAAATAGTGCAAACGAAAATAAGGTAATTAAAGCTGATTCACTGGATTATGAGAAGAGGAATGAAAGAAACTGTTCAAGATGTTTTCATAAGTGTGTATGTAGTTTAAAAAAAGTTCAGAAAAGTACGTTATAATAGCAGAATTGAAACCAAGTATCCGTACACGGCAAGGAATTACACAGTAACTCGGCTGTGATGTGTTACCAGATTTTTTTCTGCAAAAAGAAATTAACAACTTTTTATATATAAAAACAAACTATGACATCACCATTAAATATAATTAAAAGTTGTGTATTGTACCAGTTGATACCAGATTAATGATGGTGAAATGTAGTTTCATTGTGTAGTGGTGTTTATTCTATCCCATTTTAGCTGTTTGTAAATTTTAAGGTATATGGGATGACTATTACTTACATAAAAGGTCATCTCATCTTAAATGAGGCTGAATTATTTGAATTTTATTATATTTACAACAAAAGATATCTTCCTTGAAATAACGGAGATAAATTAGCTACCTTTTATAGTTATTTGAAAGTGTGAGCTTTAAGTAATAAACATGAACTTACATTTGAGTGGTTGTGTTCATTTGAGATTCATTTATTTATTCTTTTGTGTTGTCTGCTGGTGTTAAGAAACTGATGAAAATGGAAAAAAAAAATTTTGTGAAAATATCTTTCTATTCTTGGTATTGTTTGTAATTTATTTAATAGAATTAATATATGTGCTGTATATGAAAGTAAAATTTGTTTTTGCCTGATTTTTTAGCATTTTCACTTAGAAAGTTGTTGTTTTAAAAAAATACAAGATTTTAAATTTAAGTCAAGTAAAATTACATCACTCACCTGGTTTTCAGCAAGAACATTTTTTTTTTTTGAGGGTTTCCAGTTGGAGTATTTAAATATCCTCATGTTAGTATAGGAACCTAACAGTTACTGGAGAAAGGGTGTTAATAACTAAGATAATGAGGAAAGAATTTTATTTTAAATATGTAATTAACTTATGATGGGAATATAATCAGTTTATGGTGCATATTTTTCAGCAAAGCATTGCAAGGAAGTATTTAACATCAGAATTCGTAATAAAATTATACCTAACTATTAGGATTCTGTTGATTTTGCAAAAATTATCTATGTAAAATGATACCAGCTGTGTACTTCTGTAGTACAGTACACTTGATATTATTGAAAATAATACCAGCTGTGTGCTTCTGTAGTACAGTACACTTGATATTATTGAAAATAATACCAGCTGTGTGCTTCTGTAGTACAGTACACTTGATATTATTGAAAATAATACCAGCTGTGTGCTTCTGTAGTACAGTACACTTGATATTATTGAAAATATACCAGCTGTGTGCTTCTGTAGTACAGTACACTTGATATTATTGAAAAT